GTGATAGCCATGGAAGGAAAGCCTGCTCCAACCCACAGGTGCTACAGCTCAGGGAGTCAGGTGTAAGGAAGCAAATGTGGGCAGTGAACATCTAGCACCATCCAATCCAAAGACGAGCGGAGGCTGGACTTGGTGACCATCTTCTTAGTTAAAGGTTTTCCTTGTTTTCTTTCCCCAGCTCCCAGCAGACCCGTCCTTTAGCATTCAGTCAGTGTTAGGGACTGTCTCTGGAAGCTAAGTCCAATTCAATTTGTAATTTATTTTTGCAATGATTGTTCTGTCTCTTTAAGAGACAAGCCACATCCACTCCCTCCCCATCTGCTGAGGCTGATCTTCAGCTTCCAGTCTGAGCTCACTCTCTTTTCCATCTTCCTCTCAGAGAGGCAGCTTCGCTTCTGCCTCTCTCCCCACTTCTCCGCTTCCCCCCTTCTCTGTCTCTTTCTCCTCTCTCTCTCTCTCTCTCTCTCTCTCTCTCTCTCTCTCTGTCCCCTTCTCCCTTCCCCCTCATAACCCCCTGAATAAATAGTCAACCTCACTTTGCATGTCATGTCTATCCATGTCTCTGTCTCCTGCCCGCCTGCCATGTGTCTCTCTGTCTGGGACCAGCCATTGCTCGGGGACCAGCAGCCGTCTCTGCCTGGGACTGGCTGCTCCCAGGGCCCGCCGCCTGCCGCCACATGGCCCGCTACCACCATTTGGGACCTACAGCATTTCTGCTGCCTACTGCCACCTGGGATCTTGCAGCATTTTTTAAAAAAAATCATAAAAGTTTTCTTTGTTGTTGTTTTGTTTTGTTTTTAAACTAGAATCTCATGTAGCCCTAGCTGGCTTGGAGTTTGATCTCAAACATACAGCAAGTCTCTTGCTTCTGCTTTTGTGCTTGGATTACAAGTAATTATGCATGTCAAATTTTTAATGTATATACTTACAATTCAGGTTGGAAGGTATATTCCTTATTAAACTTGTTCAATAAAAATTACAGGAAACCATTGTTTCGGATTACATTTCTACACTAAAAAACGGAAACTGATGTGGTAGACCATGCCTATGAGCCCACAGCACTAGGGATATAGAGGCAGGAGGATCACTTCAAGTTCAAGGGCAGTCTAGTCTCCATGACGAGTTCCAGGACAACCAGGACTTTGTAGTAAGAAAGACTGTTTCTCAAAGAGCCAAACCAACTGATCAAACAAATTAACAAATGAACAAATGAACAAAAACCAAAACACCCTTGCTGAGGTTAAAGCTCCAGGAAGCAGAGTCACAGCCTAGTTTCAGTTTCAGGGACAGGGACAATTTCTTTGCTTTAACCCTTAGTTAACCAATCGTTTTTCTGCTGTTAAGTCTTGCTGTTCACAGTTGTCAGGGAAGCATCTGAAATACCCAATCTGCCTCTCGTTCTTTTGTCTCTGCTTCCTTCCACCTTTCTGTCTGCAAAAGCAATGTTTCCTGCTGAGCCTACAGGAATGTGTATTTTCTGAAGGACCATTCAATTCGGATTTTATCTAATGAAGATCTTTAATGACTGAGGGTGTAACTTTGTCACAGAGTGCCTGCTTAGCGCCCACAGCAGCACCTAAAAGAGAAAGGTCATTGATGGGGTCTCTCCTCTTAGTTCCATTTTCTCACTATATCTCTTGTGATGGCTATCCTTTTTAAAAATAAAATATACATTTATTAATTTTCTGTGTGTGAGTGTTGTATTGCCTGAGGAAGCCAGAAGAGGGATTCAGAACCTCTGGAGCTGGAGTTGCTATGGTTAGCACTATGCGGGTACTGGATCTTGGTCTTCAGCAAGAGTAGGCTCAGGTGCTTCTAACTGCTGAGCCATGGGATACGCCTTCTTGTTGTCAGCTTGACACACGCTTGGAACTGACTTGGTCAAACTGGCCTACGGACATGTATGTGGTGCACTATGTTACTGTTGTTACTAACTGATGAGGAGAGCCAAGGCCACCATGGGTGGTGCTACCCCTGGTCAGATGGGCCTGGGATGTGTAAGAAAGCTGGCTGAGCAGAAGCAGGAAGAAAGTCAGTAAGCAGCATTCCTCTATAGTTTCTACCTTGGTTTCCCAGGAGGATAGATCTGTAAGAGGAAAAAAATCCTTTTCTCCCAAGTTGTTGTGGTCAGGTTTTTCCCTCCCTTGCTCCCTCCCTCTCTCTTCCTCTTTCTTTCTCATCCTAACAGCAGTCTCCCCTCCTCTCCTCTCCTCTCATTCTCTTTCCCTCCATCCATAACCCCCAATCCACTTCTCCCCTATTTCTGTTCAGAAAGGGGCAGGCCTCCCATGGGTATCAACAAAGAATGGCCTATCAAGTTGCAGTAGGACTAAGCACCTCCCTTGGATTAAGAATAGGTAAGGCAATCTGGTATGAGGAATAGGTTCCCAAGAGCCAGCCAAAGTGTTGGAGACAGCCCCTGCTCCTACTGTTAGGAGTCCAAAAGTAGACCAGGCTCCAAAACTGTCACAAACACGTGGAGGTCCTAGGTCGGTCCGTGCATGCTCTCTAGTTGGTGATTCAGACTCTGAGTTTCTGTGAGTCAGGTTAGTTGTTTCTGGGGGTATTTCTTGTGACCTTGACCCCTCTGGCTCCAACAGTCCTTCCTCCCTGTCTTCTGCAGGATTCCCTGAGCTCAGCCTAATGTTTGGCTGTGGGTCTCTGCATCTGTTTCCATCGGTTACTGGATGGAGGCTCTCTGCTGACAACTGGTGTAGTCACCAATCTGATCACAGGAGATGGCCAGTTCAGGCTGCATAGTCACTATTGTTAGGAGTCTTAGCTGGGGTCCTCCTGAAGATTTGTGGGAGTTTCCATTGCATCAGGTTTAATCCTGACCCCGAAATGCCCCACCTTTCCAGCCACCTCTGTCAATACTCTCCCGCTCCATCCATCTCCAACCTGATTCCTTGAGCTACCAACCCCAACCCCCTCCCCCAGTCCACCCAGAACCACTCTTGGGCATATTCCCAAAGGATGCTCGATCCTACCACAAGGACACTTACTTAACTATGTTCATAGCAGCCTTATTCGTAATAGCCAGAACCTGGAGACAACCTAGAGGTCCCTTAACCAAAGATGGATAAAGAAAATGTGATACACTTACACACTGGAGTATTACTCAGCTGTTTAAAAAATGACATCTTGAAATTTGAAGGCAAAGGGATGAAACTAGGAAAAAAATCATCCTGAGCGAGGAACCCTGATCCAGAAAGACAAACATTGTATGTACTCACTCATAACCGGACATTAGCTGCAAAGTAAAGGACAACCAGGCTACAATCCATAAATCTAGAGAGGCTAAGTAACAAGGAGCACTCAAGTAGGGCGTGGGCTCTCTCTGAGAAGGGGAAATAAAGCAGGTTTCTGTTTGTTTGTTTTTCTTAAATCACAGCAACAGAAAGCAAAACAAAACATCCATTCTAGTAACCTTGCATAACTGCTTCTTTTAGGTTTCTGAGGTCTTGTTGCAGGATCAGCAAACTCATTGTCTTTCCTCATAGTGGGGTTTCTATTGAGATTGACAGCTATTAATATGGGAGGTACTGCACACTTGGGATGGTTTTAGAAACTGTTCTCTATGCGCGCGCACACACACCGACACCCACCCACACACACACACAATCAGGCTTATTTTTGGCATTTACTATTTAATAGGAGGGACCCAAGACTGCGAGACATTTAGAAGTTGTGGAGAGCATGTTCACAGTGAGGAGCATTCTTGTTCTTACAAGTTTGAATGATTCTGCCTGTCTTTCACATTTATTAAAAATCCACTGACATTACTATTTATCTTTAGGGTTTTTGTTTATTGGTTTGTTTCTAATTTAGAGACAAATGCCCCCCTAAGTAACCGGGTTGGGACTTGGGATCTTACTGTTGTAGCCTTTAAAATCTCTGGAATTATAGGGTGTGCTGCCTTACCTGGCTATGAGTAGTTTAAATCTTTTCATTTTGTGTTTATGAGTGTTTTGACTCCACGGACATGCATACCAGGTGCTTTCAGAGGTTAGGAGAGGGCAGCATTGGTAACTGGAGTTTCCAACGGTTGTGTGGCACGGTGTGGGTACTGGGAATTGAACCCAGTCTTTTGCAAAAAAAAAAAAAAAGTTCTCTTAATTTCCAAGCAGGTGGATCTCTGTGAATTCAAGGTCAGCTTCATCTAATACCAGGACACCCAGGGCTTTATAGGTAGACCCTGTCTAAGAACAAAAGCCAAACCCCCCCCAAATCAAAACATTAAAAAGTTTATTCCTGGGCGTGGTGGTGCATAGCTTTAGTCCTAGCACTTGGGAGGTAGTGGCAGGTGGATCTCTGTGAGTTCGAGGCCAGCCTGGTCTATAGAGTGAGCTCCAGGACAGCCAAGGCTAGAGAGACCTTGTCTCAAAACAAACTAAATACAACAACAACAACAACAAAACCCAAACAAACAAACTGGGATTAAATGTGTGTGCCGCCATTCTGGATCACAGTTTCAGAGGTTTCTGTTGACTCTTACTTTTGGCTGGGGGGAGGAAACGGGGGGGGGGGGGGGGACGGGGGGGGGCGTTCATGGACGGCGTGGGGTGGAATTGGGTGGAGTGGTGAACACTGGCAGAGGAAACTGTTCACTTCCACGGTGGTTGGAAGGAAGGAAGGAAGAGGGAGAGAATGGATGTGACTTTCATAGTCCCTTCAAGGGCACACTCTACTTGCTTTGACTTCTTTCCTAAAGGTTTCACCACCTTCCAATAGCTGGCCCAAGCTGGCAATCATGTTTTTAGCATGATTTTAGTAAGCCTTTTAGTAAGCCTTTGGGGGATTTTGAAGATACATAATACCATCAGAACATGACCGTACTGGGTAGGGATGCAGCAGCTGGTAAAGTTGGCCTGGCTTTGAGTATGAATCAGGGAACCCTATGACCCAAATCGGGTGTGGTTAGCACAAGCCTGCCTTCCCAGCATTTGTGATTATATCCCCCGCTGCAGTCCCGCCCTCAGCCCCGCCCCGCCCGCAGTCCAGCCTCACCCTGGCTCCTGCGCCCTTCCAGTTCCGTTTCCAACCTCTCCACTGGCTGACCCAGGCCGCTCTCTGCTCCATGTTGCGACGAACCAACGCGCCCCTCACTGTGCACAGCTTTTCCAGTCCCGAGCGCAGGTAGAACCCTGGCTGAGACTGTGTGGCTGGACTCCGGGCAGGGCATCCGGGCGAGCGCAGTGCAGCCGCCTCGTCCTTCCGGGCGGCCTGGTGGGTGTGGGGTGGAGAACAGGCTCCTTTTGCCGTAAGTGCTCCTAGAAGGAATGATTGTCACAAATGAGGGGTGCTGTGAGCACTTTTAGCAACAGAAAGTCGCCAGACTGACCACCGCGCTTAACACAGAGAGGTGGACGCTAAGGTGCTAACATAGCAGGCCTTCACGACTTCCCCAGACCAGAATTATGGCCCCAGTTGTGAAGCCAAAGAAGAGGGGCGGGAGGTAGAAGTGGGGGCAGATGTACATACTTGTATATATGCACAGAGAGTGTTTGAATCAATAGAAGTATCTCTGGGATACTTCTGGGAAAATGGGGATAAATTTTCCGGTTTGGTTCATCTGAATCTCCATAAACTCCAGGGGAAGAAAAAATTATGTGTCTTTGTTTTCCTGTTAACTTAATTTTTATTTTGAGGACTTGTTTTTCAATTTTGAAGTATGTGGTTGGATGGTGTGATTGTACATGCCTTTAATCCTAGCACTGGAGGCAGGGGTGGGCAGAGGCAGGTGGTTCTCTGTGAGTTCGAGACTAGCCTGGTCTATATAGTAGTTCCAGGACAGCCAGACCTACGTAGTGAAACCTTTTTTCAACAATAAATAAATAAACAAGCAAAAAAAATCTTGGATTAATTCTAGGATTCATTATTACTCGTGTGTGGGGTGTATGTGTGTACATGTTCATGTGTGCAATAGTATGTACATGTGTGGATGTATCTTCAGGCTAGCGGGCACATCAGCTGCTTACTTTGTTGCCTCCCAGCTTGCTTTTCGTAGGCTGGCTGGCCAGCTTGCTGGAAGAATCCACCTGTGGGTGCTTCATCAGCTGACCTATCTTCCTAACTCCTCACCCCTTTTGGACAACTTGCTAGGTAGCCAAGCATGACCTTGAACTCCTGATCGTCCTGTCCTGCCCCTGCCTCAAGTGCTGAGAGGGTGCGTGGGTGCCACGCCTGCCCTTATTGCCCCCCCCCCCCCCCCGGTCCATTCTACTACAGAGACAGGAGAATAAGCTGGACACATTCTCTTTTGAGAAAGAGTGTGTTAGCACAGCTCCCAGAGGCCTGGAATTTGCAATGCAGCCCAGGCTGGTCTTTTTGATGCCCTCCTCTCTCTTCTGCTAGGCAGGTCTCCACCGTGCCCCCCTCTCTCTCTCTTCCTAGGCAG